ACCTGGAACATGGCTGGAAAATCTGGGCCTCCTCTCTCATAGCCAAGTGCTTGGAAAAGCACAGGCCAGACACCTCTTTGCACTGGCGTACTCTCCATGGCCAGTGTGTCTCAACACCTCCTCCACTGTCCCGTGCGTATCCTCACAGCGCTCCTGGATCTTGATCTCTATCTCAAAGTGTACTTTTGGCCAGCTCTGTCCACAAAGCTGCAGTGAACTGGGAACTGAACCACAGTCACAGCTGTAAAGTTTTACAGTGCTATTGCACCAAGCTGTCTACAATAGAGATAAGCGTATCCCATAAAGCTAAAATCAACAGGTTTTAGGAGGTGAGAAGGGCGTGAGAAAACAGTAACGCTTGCCTGCAACCTCTTGCCCCTCCATGAAAGGGAAGAATTAAGGGTCAAACCACAGTCTCCCATTGTCTCTAAAGTAAGAGTGTCTGAAGTGGAGAGATCAGGACTAGTCTTATTACATAACTATCCTGGGAAATAGTTGTACCTTTATCAATTAGTTTAATTAAACTGTATCAAACTACACCTAGCCTCATCTTGGTTCTGTAACAACAGCATGGAGCATCAATGTTGATGCAAAGCAGGGATGAGGACTTGTGGCTGACTTGAATACTCTAGCTCTGAGGCCTTCAACAACCACACCACTCCACTGAACTGAGTATGGATTACTGAAGATTTTGACAAGCATTTCTACTTGTTCGAAAGAATCTCATACCCTGGATCTATGGTCAAGGGAAAGGATGGAGAACACTTTAAGCAATCAGAGCAGCTCCTGAATTATTCATTGCTCCTTGACATGATTGCACTTCTACATGGAAAAATGATCCCTTTGTGATAGCTTTGAATTTACATGTATCAAAAATGATTCCTGATTTTGCTTACCCAGAAGCAGATCACGTTCAGGACAGCTACATGTTGCTGAAACTGCACTGCTTCCAACAGATCTTACCTCAAGGCTTACATTGCTTTGCAATGCAAATCCCCTTCACATTTTCTTCTAGTACTCCAGACTCTAGTGTATCATGGGTCTCTTCCACTCTAGACAAACTTGGAATTAAGCTTGCACAGTGGCTTAATATAGCTCAAACATTTTAACCCTGAAATACCTCCTGGTTCTTCTCCTTTTTGCTTTTAAGGGACACCTTCATTTTGCTATAAGGCTAAATCCTGACTAAGCAATTTAGTTCTTCTTTTAATGACTTGCTTGGTTCCATGTGTCTTCCCAGACGCTCTCCCTGTTTGCCTAAAATCATTTCCTTCCTAAACAACAGAGTTAGCAAAGCTCAGGGTCTCATGAGTCTGTCTCCTAATCCCAACTACCTACAACTGCAATAAAACCTACTACTTCTTCTTCTATCTATAATCCTCTGCCTATAGGCAGGATTATCCAGACATAACATCTACTGCCTAAACACTAGTAAAGGGCAATATATACCCCGGTTCATTCCAAGTTACATAGGTACTGATTAACCTGCTAGCACTTGCAAATTGTTTGATTAGGTCAAGTAAAATAAATAACAGCTGATCTCACAGACTTTTGGTTTGGTTGGTTGATTAGGATTCTTTTTGTTTGTTTTTGGCTTTAAGAGGTTAATTTGAGTTTTTTGTTCTTTACTCAGATTTTTATTTATTACTAAGATACAGGAACCAAGACAAGGTTTCTGAGCATCCTCAGAATGGATTTAGTGGTGTTTGGGAGGTGTTTCAGGTTTGTTCTCCTGAATAAACAAGGTGTTACAGATTATTGAGTATAATTTATAATAATTATTGGTCCTATAGGTGCACTTTAGCCTTCATAGCTATATAGCTTTGTTTCCACCCTTTTGGAGGCTGCTTGTGGTATGTTAAAAGTAAATATAGTCTAAGAGAGTTTGGGGAGAGCCTTTTGCTGATTTCTACCACAGCTTTAGTAGTGAACTTTGGGTTTTTCAGCCTAGCTTATAAACCTGGGTTCTTCAGTGCAACTATTAACATTAATACAGCATGGTATAGTTATTTCATATTTTTTCCCTGGAAGCTGGCAGAAATGTTTACGTACTGTTGGGTGTTTTGGGTACTGAAGGTAAAAGCGCTGGCTGTCAAAGCTGAGGCTGCTCTCGCTGACAATGGATTGAGTGAACTATACCAAACAAAAGGGTCAGAAATCTGAGTGAGTTCTTGTTCTTGCAGGGCTTAGTTCACTGCTCTCACTGTTCTTTTTTTCTCTCACTCTACTGGAGCTAACAACCTCAGGATTACTACAGACTCAGAGGTATCAGACACTTTTCTTCTGAAACAACTAGTTAGCATAACTGAATTGCACCTCCAGCCACTGTTCTCAGCATCTACTAAGGTTGAGATTCATTACTTCTGTTTCAGATCCACTTCACTTTGTAAAAGTGAGGATGCTTAAGTAATCAGACCTTCAGGTTTGACATTTTAAACAAGGTTAGGTTGTTTTTTTTCCTGTCATGAACTTGGTAATTTTACAAAGCAGAAGTTCCTTTTCCCCTCCCTCTACTCTGTTTTCTCTTTCATTTTAATGTTGCTACTGACATTGCTATTTAGTCAAGGAATCTAAACTCAGCTTATTCTAGCTAGATTGATTTCTCTATTGAAAGTAAATGTCTGTGTAGCTTAAATATCCATGCAATCTTTATGTAATTTATCAACATCATCTATTCTTCTATATAGTTCCACTGCTTTTACAAGCCCTTTATTGAAAGATCTAAGTATTTCAATCTCTTTTTATTTTGCCAGCTCCCTTAAGAGGTAGGGGCATGTTATCATCTGTCTCTATAGCTGACTGAAGCCCAGAGGGTAAAGCTCAAACTTCTTTCTTTTTTTTTTTTAAGTGATGGTCAGTCTGTTCCATTTCTCCAACTCAGCCATTCACTCATTTAGAGACAATAGCTCAACTAAGAATTATCAAAGGTAAGTAGATTTGTAAAGATACCACATTGAAATACTGTTTAAATCCTATTAAAAAAAATAAAATGTGTTTGGGAAATGGGATTTAAGCACCTTAGTTACTCGGATCTTTTGATACTGTATGAGGGTGCACTCAATATTCTTTTAAGTCTGACCCCAAGAGACTTGCACTAAATCATGTTGGCAACTGCACTAAAAGCAACTGAACTTGAACTTTCAGGTTAACTACTGTCCCAGTCTCTACTCATGTATCTATCAAATTGGCTTTGGTGATTTTTTTTATTATTATTTTTTTACATTATGATACAATTGTCCCTTCAAAAAGAAGGAGAGAAGAGAAGAATAGCAGGCTGTCCTAGTCACCTGGTCCTTTTGTGCCATCAGGAAGAGTTTCTCTGACCCCAGTTGCTTATTTCCTTTAGAAAACTGCATGGGCTGGAGAAACTGTTTCACTACTATTTTATCTCCTGGTCTTTGTTCTCATAGAACAAAGTGATGCAGTTAGGGAATATGGAATATTCCCTGTCACTTTTGCTCTTTGATATATAACTTCTCTATATAACCATACATGCAGAAGAAAAGACCCATGCTCTTCTGTGAGAGTTCTGCTAGCACTTTGGTACCATAGGCTTGTTAAGACCATTACCTTCCTTTGCAATGATGGGCCGTGGAGGGTGGTGGGACAAATTGAATAGAAATACAAGATTGTTTTGTAAAAACTCCAGTAATGAAGCTGGACTTTGGTTAGACCAAAATTCATTTGTTCCACGACCAAAGAAAAAGATGACTTTTATCCCAAAGGGGTTATACCTTAGTGATCTAGAATGCAGGTTTCTAATCTCAGTCAGTTATTTAGGCTTCCTCTAGATTTGATAGAGAAGGGCATAACTCCAGAGGGTGAATGATCCCAGTTAAAAGAAAGGTCAAAAAGGTAGTTGAATGTCTCGTTCCCTCGATTCTAGAAAACTAGTTTCAGCTACATCTTTTGGATGACGGAACTTTGAGCTGAATCCTGCCCCAAGAATGAAGTGAAACAAGCTGTAGTAATTATAAAAGACCATATTAGTGGTTGTGTAGATATTTTATATAACTTCTGCTGAAACTTTAATTTTGATCCATTAAAAAGTCTGCAAAATGATCAGAAGACCTGAGATATAATGTTTGTACACCTTCTTCTGAATAAACAATCTTTTTTCCCCATTATAAAAAAAAAAAGGGAGGAGGGGCTCATTTTACATGTTCTGCTAAGCTGTGTGATTTGTGGATTTCCCCTGTGAAGCGGCAGTAGCGTCTGATGCACCAGAGTCAGGGTCAGCCCTCTGCCTGCCTCTGCTGAGGCCACGCACCCCTTGTCGTGGAGAACAAATGTAGTTTCTCAGAGGAGTTGAAGGAGTCAAGTCACTCCTAGAAGCAAATGAGTATAAGAGGTACAACTTAAGCTTCTCAAATGAGAAATATGACTCAGAAGAGAGCCTTTGGCACCACTTGTATTTTGGCAGATATGGACATCAAAAACTGCTTTCTCTGCCTTGCTACACACGTGTGTAACTGCTGCTACTCAGTCCCTTGATTAAACAAGGTCAAGGTTTACCAGCTACACCTCATCTTGCTGAAACAGTAGTTACTAACAACCTAAACAAGATGGCCATTGACCTGACTGTGGTCAGTATGCTTCTTTCTCTTCTATAGAAATTAAATTTGTCTCAACTAACATCTTTAGGCTGCAAACTTCTGCAGTAAGAAAAGCTTCTTGCTGCCTGTCCGCAGTCCTTTGTGCAGTGGAGTTTCAGTCAAAGCTAGATACTCCTGCAAATCATCATCATTGTAGTGCTAATGGTGGAGATTTGATTGGATCTTTTATTTCTGGTAAGGAACTTTCACTTTTCTCCACGTTACTCTTATCATTCTCTGTGTTACAAAAAGTACTTAAACCCAACCTTATAACTTTGAGGAAAATTGAGACTCTGCAGCTGCTGGAGGTGACATAATGTCTGACAACAGCTTCTCCTTCAGGTTATGTCAATTATGTTACAGAATATGCTTAGATTTTTTTTTTTTTTTTTGACATGTCTCTAGGAATTCTCATTTACAATGACGAGTGAAATGGCTACATGCAAGGCAGACCTTTCTAAAGAAAGTAGTCCTTCCTGGAGAAAGGTAAGTGTTTTGATAGTAGATTGGAACCATTATAGGTTTTTGAGGGTTTTTTGTTTTTACTAAGCGGTCTGATCATTGAATAAACATTCCTCTTAAACAGCATCTATGACACTTCAAGTAACTGCACTGAAAGAGATTCAGATAGCTACAATGTCCTTTTTCCACAATGAAACTATTTAGAGGCTTTTTTCCTTTGACTTTTGTGATTTCCAGTCTGGATTTCTGTAACGCACACTGCTCTAAGTGCACACAGCTTGATCCAATACCTTATGATTCCATTGGGCTTACTTTGTTTTTTTTTTTTTTTTTTTTAATTGGGTTTAGGATCAGAAACATCCAATACTATTTAAAACAAATGTAATAGCTTCTGCCTAGCAAACTAAACAGGGCCAGGGTATGGCCCAAGCACTGACTGGATTGATTTCTCATGCTATTGATCAGTTTATGTAGTTTCTGGCATGGTTTTGGCCAAATGTTCTTTCAAGCAATTCCCAGATTACTTCAGATTAATTAGCAGAGGCCATTGGTCCTTCCCCAAGAAGCAGTTTAGGTGATCCCTGTGCTCTAAGGGGAAGAATTTCACAGCATGGGTGTGAACCATGCTGTATGGGCTAGCCTCAGGCAAGTAAAACCATCCCTGGCCCATTTTAGACATGGTCTAAATGTAGCCATTTAGTTCACAACACAGTAGTTTCTTTCCTCCTCTTTCATTGAAGCCTATTAAGACATTCATAGCTAATATATTTAGGGGATGGATTCATCTCCCCTGCCTTTAGACATTCACAAGCAACTCCACCTAGGCTAGTCATGTTCACTTCCCTTCGTAGTCAATAGAGAGAAATGGGCGTTTCTAGGCCATGTTTCGTTTGACCAGTTTTAGACATCTACACCGGGATGAAAGAAATCTCACTTTAAAAACTTCTTATCTCAGATGTAAGCATCAGAGGGGACCCACCAGAGTGGTGGGCTGGCAGGTGTAACTCCTTACTAGAGATCTGTAGTAGGTTGGATGGCACAAAAAGCACTCCAGAAGCTTGTTTCTCACTACTATTCGTAAAAGGAGTCAGGTGACTGCCTCTCCAGTTGCCTTCTGCTTGCAACTGGAGCCATTGACCTTTAGGAATATGTACCTTCATGGCACATTAACTGCTTTGTTGCAAAAAAAATCCCTTTAGTTTGAATTCAAAAAAAGTAAGGCTACATAACTTATGGAGTCTCTGAGGGTCTGTGCATTCAGTTTAGGAAAACGTTTGAATATTTTATTCCTTCTGGGCCTCTGATATCACTCTTTTATAAAATACACAAAAATACTGTAGACCCAGACCACCAAAGCGTGAAGGCAATTCACCAACACATCCAGTGAAAGTAAAAGAGTAATTCTTGCAAAATGTACAGATGTTGGATTTAATCTTATACTACAGTTATAAGCTCTTACACGTGGAGTTGACTAATAGGTACTTATATTTTTTTTCTTGTGCCCTCTTTATATATTCACCAGCTGTTAAAGTTATCTTAGGTTACTGAGTTTTAAATTCCTACTGAAATACTGAGACATTGAATCAAAAGCCATGCTCTGTATCCATCTACTCCTTCATCTCTTTTCTAAGCATCAGGTATAAGAGTTCTATAGCTTCTCATGACATTTTACAACATATTATTTAATATCTCTGTTTATCTGATCTCTTATTTGTTTGTTCATTTGCTCTGTGACTCTGTGATGGCATTTAACCCTTCTTGGAACATTATAATGTGATAAGATGAATGGCTTTGTTTTGGTTTTGCTTTGGTAGCATAAAACCAGTTCTTGATCCGAACAAATGTCATAGTCATTTTGGATGTGTAACTTCTCCCTCTTTGTTACAAGAAATAATCTCAACATGTAGTGTTCCTGATGGCAATTAATATTTGGGATGGTAGAGTGATGTAGCTGTGAGAACACTCACTCTGAATCTCACATCAGTCTGAGATTCAGTCAATCAGACAAAAAGACAGATGTGTCTAAGCAGCAAAATTTTCATGCCCTGTTCCTGTGGAGCAGAGAGCGTTTGTCCTTAACGTAATCTAGGACTCTTAGAATCAGTTTACTTAGGCTTATACTAGTTTATGGTAGTGTATTCCTCTTTCATCCTTCCTGTAACACCTGACTCATTATCAACATTGTAAGCCTGACTCATTGTTTTCCTCTTTTTTTTTCATACTGCATTCTTGAGCTGGAAAGCCTTTTAAAATATAGACAACTCCAATTCCTCTACACTACCTCAACAGGGATACTAGCTCCATCATAATTGCCCCCAGAAGTTTCATAAAAGGCTTCGCCCCATTACACATCCCAATGTAAATCAGGATAAATTCCTAGGAAGGCTCAATTAAAGAAGAAGAACATGGGTGTTCAATCATACACGCATGCTCACTTCTGATCTCTGGGGCAACCCATAAAGGCTGGTTTGTTCAGGCTGGATTATTCATTAAAACTTGTAAGAAGTGATACATACAGCCTCCTGTTCTTGGATTTATATGTATGGAGGCCTGAAATACAAGCTATTATTTCAGAGAAGGAACAAGAAGAGAAGCAGTTCTCGGAGCAGAATTTCTTGTAATGATGGACTAAGCAGGATTTAAGCAAGAAGCATAGAAGGGTAGATGCTTTAACTCTTTAGTAACCAGTCTGTGAGGACAAGCTTGGAATGTGGCATCTTACACACTATTTCAGCCCAGCAGAGTATTTAAGCACCATCCCGGAGGTGGAACAACTAGGAGCGATGACTCTCTGTTGGGAGAGACTGCTGCTCCATGTACCTCAATACCTATCTCAGCAATAGAAATAACCCTAATTTGCTTTTTCACAAGCAAAGCTGGTAATTAGTCCATGAACATTTTACTGACACTATCTGTTCTCTTAGGCAACAGTCTGCTTTGTCTGTGCCCGCAGGCTGGGCAAAGACCAATACAAATTAGTGAGGCTTGATGATCAGAAGAGTATATTAATCTGGCCATGGAGCTGCAGTAATGTAGCTTTCTGGCTTCTAAAATAGAGCTAATTCACGTCTGACTAGCTCAGAGTGCAAGTGGAGGTGCTCACGTCCCTCTGCTCCTGCCTGTTGAGACCTATCCAAAGGCTAGCCTTTGTACCACTTACAAAGTGCAAGTGCAATTTGAAATAAAGCTTAATCAAGTTATATGACACAGTTGTGGCATTCATCAACTTGATTAACATAAAGATAGAACTTGAAAATTAAGCTACTCACAAAGGACTTTTGTCTAGTCATTACTATTCAAGATAACTAGATATGGGTTGTCTAATAATTGCTACCTATCTATATTCATAAAAAAAACCTGGCACCTGCAGAGAAATCACTTTGTGATATCTATTTATCTGACAACCTTTCTGACAGAATACAAATCCAGGCTTTGCATAATGTAGCCACTATTATGAGATAGCAGACTACGTATGACTTGAATGGGCCATTTCAAGTAAAATGATATGATTGCCTTGAACACCTGGCATGCAGATGTCCTCAAATGGACTCTGAGGCTACAGATCTGTATTAGAAACTGGCCTAGGGTAAACCCATGATGAGCTTACACTAGCGCTGATCCTGGCAAGCAATTCAAAGCAGAGGTGAAAAAAGCTACCATTTTCTTCAAGCCTAAGTGGAGCCAGAACTAAGGTCCTATCTTCTCCTTGTGACGTAGTATCCTTAGTCCAACAAAAATGTTCATGAACTGCTTCATCTCCCTGGTATCCTTGTCCTTGCTCCTTCAAATATAAACTATCCTAAGCATAATTTTAGGAAGAGGTAACTGGAGACTGTGACGTACTATATAAATGTCCATATGCCAAGTGCTGTTCAGGAAAGCTTTTTGACAAAGTAAATTTCAAGATTTAAGCATTGTGAGTGGGATTTGTCTCATCTGGCTTTAGACATCTACAGTTGATAGCTTAGCTGGTCCCCCTAGGGGACTCATAGTTGGCAGAAAGAAATGAGCACTTCCAGCATGCTTCATGGTGCCTCTCTAGATGTGTCTGTTATGGTGAGGTGAATGGTACCTCGGACTTTGCAGATGATGCTGATAATACCTCCACTGAAGAGAGCCCAGGATCTAAACTTAATTTTGTAGCTACATAGGCATCTGTGCGTAGTCAAAGGTCTTTATCTTTTAATTCTTTATGTATTCAAATGTTGAATATACCAGTTAAAAGGAAAGTTGTTACTACTTCGTGTTTTCATGGGTATGTTAGATCAATTACCTCTGAGAGCAGGGGAGCAATTTTCAGTTTGTTTTATTTTGGTTTTCCCTCACAGCTGAATGCTATGATTACTCATCTATAGGCTATTCTTGAGGATGAACTTTTGACCAGAAAAAACATCCTACGTACCAAACTCATTATAAAAGCATTTTTGAGAGGGAAATGGTTTCACATAAGTCTGCCTTTAGCAAAACAAATGTCTATGAAGGAGATGGGGGACCTAGCTGTGGTACTCTCTAGTCACCTCTCTAAAGTGCCCAGTACAGACATGCTATGATATTGTGAATATATATCTATGCATTAGCACTGATATATATTTGGGTACAATATACAAAAAAAAAACCTTACACTTTACCATTCAAGATTTCTATTTTATTTCAGTCTTACTCCAGCTAGGAAGTGTTAAAAGATTTGAAGTTGTTTATTGTTTTGTGGTACAGAAATAAGGCATGTTTGTGAAGGAAAAGATGCTTAACTGAGCCCATGAGTTTCTACTTTGCTTATAGCTTTCAGTCCGTATTGCAACATCTTATTCTAGTTCACCTGTGGAAAATTCCAGGAAGGAACTATTCCACAGTCATAACTGTGTTTGTATAGCTGGTATTTACTCTGTAGGAAACTTTCAGCCAGATCTTTATCAAGTGCAAATAAGCATATCTCCAGTTCATTCATGTTTTTCTTGTCAAGTTGACATGATATCTGAATCTGGTCTACTGTTAATTGATTCTTTCCTACATCAGCATCAGTTATT